TTTTCTTCTTTACACTCTCGAACGAAACCCAGTTATAAATCTCAGATGGATCTGTAGTTGCGTCCTCCCCCAGTTTGATATCCACCATGCATGTAACGATCTAACCTGCAATTATAAAAAAAGAATTACAATTATTGCAAGAGCGTATGTACGGAACTGTGGTACACTTGATAAAATTTTAAGGAAAATAAGCTGTGATTTTTACCACCCTCGAGAGGGGTCCAGTTCTTACTCGTAGATGCATATGAACTTGCACCCATACCCGAAAAGCTAGTAGTTTTAAAGATAATTCGATTTTTAAGAAAAATTGGGCATTTGCAAGCGTCAGTATATATTGTCAAAATTATTTTATTACTTACATTTTGATTCCAGGTTTTATATCTTATCGTGGGTTAAGTATAAGTCAAATAAATACATCTACTATGAAACATTAAAAAAATAGCTTACAGGGTGTTTTTTTTTGTAGATCCAAAGTTACAAAACTTCATATTAAAAAATCTCACTTTTGTTTAAATGGAACACCCTGTATATTTTTCTGTCATCATTTAGCTCCTCCAAAAATCTTCAACTTTTGATAATAATGTCCTATACCCATCTCTGATAGTTTTCGAAACATCTTGGTTTTCCTGGGTTTTATATTCTAATCTTAAATAAGTTATATTAATTTACATAATAGTGAGGTGGACATGCAAAAAAAGGCAATTTTTATGTATCTCGTCCAAAACGATAATCATATCGATTGATTTATTTTTCAAACAATTTATTTAAGTCCAAAAACTGGAGAATAAGTAAAAACATCTGACTACAAAGCAAATTTAATTTAACTCCTAATAAAGATATAAAACCTGGAATCAAAATTTAAGTAATAATTTTGACAATATACTGACGCTTGCATCAAATGCCCAATTTTTCTTAAAAATCGAATTATCTTTAAAACTACTAGCTTTTGGGATATTAACTATATAATAAAAAAGACGTACAATTACACGTAGAATTTAAAAATGCAGGAGGTTCTATTAAAAAATGTACCATTTGGGCGCACTACTTTGTGGTCGCACCCTGTATAATTACAAATATTTTTAGAATGTGGAAAATATTCAACCATATCATAATACAAAAGCACTCTATCGAAAAATCTTATCTTCAAGGCATTAAGTTACTCCGCGCAATCGTTGACTCACCCTGTACAAACCAATTTGTTTCGATAAGACCTTTCATTTTCAAAAGCTTATTTGGCACCACTAAAGGCTGCGTATGCAATATTTGAGACCAATTGGTTGTCGTGTGTAAAAGTTATGCACGTTTTACTTTCAAAAACAGCATCTTAGAAAATAATTCATAGGCGTGGGGATGACGCGATTTCAAAATAGTACGTGAAAAATAGATTTTCATCTTTACCACCCCTGAAAGAGTTCCAATTCTATCTCGCAGATGCATCTGCACTAGCGATCTCTCTTAATTCGATATCCCTCTTTCTTACAATGGTCTATTATGCAATTATAAAAAATGTTTACAATTACTGCAAGAGAGGAGGTACGGAGAAGCGACATCCTGAAAAGAAGTTCAGATCTCCCTCACAGATGAATCTCCCTCAGTTCGATATCCATCGTGCATATAAACCTGTTGTTATAAAAAAAAGGGGTTGCAATTTTGTTGTAAGTGCGAAGGCACGTAAAAGTGGAAAACTAGCTGCAATATTATAAGGGGAATCGGTTTTCGTTTTTACCACCCTAGTGCCCCAGTCACGATTCGAATCGAATCCCTTATTGACTCACATACAAGAGTGGAACCCGATTTGTCCCGAATATAAACAACCTAAAGTTTTATTTGATTTGTGTTGTACAAAACGAATTTTTTTGACTCGTGATCTCGTGAACTTTTTTTGACAATTGTAAGTGCTTTGCACCCTAACATGAACACAAATAAATAAATAAAAAAATAAATAAAAATAAATGACACGAGCGACTCCTACCACTTTGGGTAATTAAAATTGTGTTTTGGATTGGAATTAGAAGACTCCGATTCATCACCTAAACGAGTCAAAAAACTTCTTCCAATCTTGGGAGAACAACTTGCCAAGATAGACCAAAATTATAGTAATAAAACACCTTTACAAGCTACTAAATTTATTTGGTGTCAAAGTTACATGGTTTAGCCATAACGTATTTGAACAGTGCATTGACCATACGCGTTTTCAGTAACAGTTGCTTTGTATGCAGCTTGTCAAGCCTAGGTAGTCACGTGCACTGGAGCATCTCTCATAACAATCTAAGAAATCGTCAGCGGTACCTACGTCACAGTAAAAGGTGAAGAAAATTAGAATAGTGGAAACTCACCTTCATGCACGAATACAAAAAGTGCTAGTAGCACGGCGATGAAGAACGTCGGGAACATTATGTTTCGTCTTTTGGCAACTGTTTCAAGTACGAATCCGACATCAGAGCGATGGTCTTTTATACGGTTCACTCCAATGGATGTGGTTTCTCTATCTTGGTTTCTAAATTACATCCACGAAGATAAATACCCCTGTTAACTAATTGCCTCCCACATCTTATGTATGTCACCTGATCGATTAGAAATCGAGATCACAAAATAATAAGACGCTTATTAATCAGTTTCAATCATCGGTCGGCAAAGGGAAGATCCGTCCACGCTTGATTTTAGGTAATCTTTTTGTATAATTATCACATTCATTTGCGAAACGGAAACCATGCTATCAAGTGCGAGTAAACAATTTTAATTGCGCTGGGAAGAAGTGCAGATATCGCTAAATTTTCAGCTACGTATGATTAGTTGAAGTGGAGCGGATCTTCTAATTACCTAAACAACAGATTTGTGTTTTTTGATTGTATGTCTCCTTATCTTCGTTCTATTTTTTTCAGGAAAACAACTCAATATTGTGCGCACTTACCTACTTTCCAATTTTTTGGAATTCACTACAGTATACAGTATACTATACATATTACGAAAGCTTTCTTTTTTATTTTCACCAGGCATTGTACAGATCATAATGTAATAATAATACGGATCATAACTCATTTACCATAAAAGATACCGAAAAAAGCTTTAGAGCAAAATTTTCTAAAATATTTTTGATTACCAGAGGCGTGCTGTATTCCAGTGGCGTATCAAACTTGCATTTTTTAAAATGGAACACCCCTTATTTTATTACTGATTTGGAGAGTACTTGAAAAGTACTTATTTTTTATGTAACATGTTATACCTCTAACTTTAACGATTTCGCTGTTATAAACTTTTTTCGTCAAAATTTGAGTTTTTCGAAATTTTTTTTGAGAGAAACCAAATCACGCATGCAGCTAATTTTTGGATTGAGGCACAGGTTAACACCTCTTCCACAATCATATTTTTTTAGGTACTTTATCGAAAAAATAAAATTTTTGATTGACCTTCTCTAAATGTCAATTTTTTAAAAATTTTAAATGGCACCCCCCTAAACAAAGTCCCTTTGTTTAGGGCAAAACTAAAAAGTTTCCACTGATGTAAACAAAACCACACTTTCCATAAGAAAATTTCAGAGTAAAACCAAATCGAAACGGCAATTTGTAAAAAAAAGTTCTTTTCCGAACCCAAGTAGGCCATGATAAAACAAAAGATGTTCAATTTTCACAATTAACAGTACAGTGTCGGCAGCGTATGATTGTTTTTTAATCAGCGTTGTGAAAATGTTCCAAACTCAAAAATCGAAGTGTGCCTAAATGTGCAATCAATGTGTAAACGAAGGAAATATTTGACGTTTCATTATTTTATTGTTGGGGGCTAAATTCGTGAAGTTGGCTGAGATGTATTGTCAGGCGTTAATAACTCCCCTGGGTAGGCAGCACCCAAAGGGGTAGGCAACTCGCTCTGAGACGACCCAGATTATACCCCTGAGTGCCATAAAAACTTTATGTGATTTAATTATCTAGTTTTGTGGTAATTAGTAACACTTAAAAAATCAAAGAAATATAGAATTTGGCTAATTATGAATAGGTCCAGTGGTCGACCCCAAACATTCTAAACGTGTTTCACAACCATGGAGCTTAGTAGAGTCGAAAAAAATGGTTTAGTCATTAGTAACCAACATTTTTGTAGCCCCCCCCCCCTCCCGGATTCCGGGGGAGATGAGTGTGATTCGACGTCGTAACTTTAAGAGGGATGGCCAAGAGCATATGCGCCAATTTTCATCGCTTTACGCAAAAGTGCGAGGTATGCATTTGGAGCGTGAAGTGCTAACTTACCAGTAAGGGTTGGAGGGCTGTAAACTGAAGATCATGATATAAAATGCTAAAGCGTGATTTCGGATGAATTTGGTTTTATAGTCTGAATATTAAAACTGTAGAACAAAAAATTGTTGTTTTGACATTCGTCAGTGCCAAGATACCAAATTTTTTAGTTCTAAATTTCAAGTGCATGGATTGAACGTTGAAGCCTGGAGTCTAGAATTCGAAGCGTTTTTAAAACATGATGTTTAAATCCAAACGCCTCAAAAAAGGCACCAGCTTACAACTTGAAGCTAGTTATTTATTTATTTATATGCATAATTAAAAAAAAATTCCAACTCCAAGATGGGGTCTTAACCCGAGGTATGAAGAAGATCATGAAAAAAAAATCAATTGCAACCCTTATAATTATAAGATTTTTTGCAATGATTAGTGAACGTTTCTCACCACAATTTTCTCTTTACATAGGCAAGAACTAGCGTGTAAACGTATACCATACGTCTGTTGAGCGGTTAGTTGTTTTTTTATGTATTTTTTTAATTTTGACAGTACAACAAACAAAAGTTTATTGATAAACATCTGCCATCAATTTTAAAATAATATTGGATAGAAGAAATAATAGGCGTTACCATATTGACAGGTGTTTTTCGTTGTCTATTCGCTTGGTAGTATGTACTATATGTACTTTTTCAAAAATTGCTAAAAAGTGTTGATTGGCAATGGCTATCAATATGAAATATCAAATGTATTAATGGCATACGATCTTTTTTTGTTGTGTTGTCATAATCTGCAAAATTACTTAAAAATAGAACTGACCGCTCAACAGACGTATAATATACGTTTACACGGTAGTTCTAACGTATGTAAAGTGAAAATTGCGGTGATAGACCTTTACTAATCATCACACAATATTTGTCGTTATTAACAACGAAATATCGTACGAGTTTAAATTACACAGACGCGCAAAGCACATGCTAATCGGCCAAGTATTGCAAATGGAATTTTTATTTCGAATGTTCAAGTTTTGGGTTCGTTATTTTCGTGTTATCAGACCCGCAGATGCAAAATTTGTGGGGATTGGGATTTTTGCATGCAAGTTAGTTGTTGCACCACTTTGTGCTAGGCAAAAATATTTTTAAAATTGGCAAGGACATGTGGTCGCTAATTTGCGCTTGAACACAAATTCGATCATATTATTCGAATTGAGGTAATTCTTATATTGTATCAGAAATATTAGTTCTTTTATTTTGTTTAAATAATTAGTAAAATATCCGGAACATCAATTGAATTTAATTGAGTTGTGTTATTTATTGTAAATGTTTATCTCAGGTGAGGGCGATAAGAGTTCGTTATCGCTGCGTAAAGCTAATTGAATTTCAGGATGGAAGAAAGGACGAAGGTGGAAGGGAAGAACGTTTTAAATAAGCGAAGCGAATGCTTTTTTTTGGTGGTCATTTTGATTGGTGCATGGCAGTCAGTCAGTCTTGTGGATAGTAAAGTTGTAAAAAAGAAATTTTACACAATTTTTAAATATATTTAGAATACCGTCAAGAAACGATATGACCAGTTCATACAAAATTGTCGCCGCGCATTTACTGCTGCCAATAATCCTGCCCCACTTATTCTGATACAGTATATAAAGACGAATCGCAGTAACATGTGGAGTAACCCCAGATTCTTCTCTACAGGACACCGAATTCTTCTCTTGAAGGGAACCTGAGATACGTTAACCTACATCGTCCTAATTCTAAACCTGTATTTAAATTTCGTTTTTTGTTTCAC